TGAGGACAGAGCCAACGAAGTTGCAAAGTTCCACGGATCGTATTACGTTGAACGACAAAACAAAAGGAACGAGACAAAGGCAGACGGAAAAAAAATTTGTGCGCGCGTGCATTTGATACGCTGCTTTCAATAAATGTGTTTTTATTTAAATTATCATTGCAGCAAAAAGCCAACTACTTCTCGTCAAGTTAATTCACCATTACTCTCATGAATCGTTGCGCGTGTTAAAACTTTTAGGCAAACACACTTGCAAAAGACTAATTTCATATATTTATATCTAGTTTGCAGATTTAAAAACAGCTTAAAAGAAGGTGCCCACTTACATTTTTTGGGTTGTATGATGTAGTGTGTCCCGCGCTGCCGTGTCTGCTGTCCAGATAGCTTGCGCGCTGATCTGGCGATAGGTCGCTTCCCGAAGAGCTGTACTTCGAATTAGTAGCGCTATTGCGGTTAATGTTGGTTGGTGTCACTGTCGCTGCCTTAGTGGCTTAGGTCAGCAATCGTTGAACGATTCTTGTTGCTTTGCGCAACCACTGAGAACTTTTGCTCGCAAGTACTTTAAGCTTTTAGTATTGTCACTGTGTGGCCGTAGACTGCTCACTTGATCACTTTGTTTTAGATCTGTTCTTTTTTATTTTCGAGTCATGGTGTAATTACCACTGGTTGGGCGCCAATTAAGTATTTTAGGTTGGCGTAATCGCGCCCGGCTATTCGAGTCTGGGTGTCGGGCGGGGCCGCGACAATAAATGACAAGGAGTTTATATTAATTCTTTATTTCACAAGCCAAGCGGAGCTGTGGCGTTGGAGCACGAAATCAAACTAAAACTACGAATACAGAAATTCACATTAGGAGCTAAGATGAAAACGAAACACATTGTTGCGGTTTCATATTCGTAGCGGCCATGCAAATAAACAAAGTTTGCCAGCAATGCTTACATTGCAGAATGCCGTCGTCGTAATTCATGCGCTCGACATAGCGACGTTACCTTTAGTTAACTTACATATGTATATGTAATATGCGTTGTTAACAAAGATTAAATGCGATTCACTTTTGTTAATAATATTTTGCACAACACAGTTTTGGTTTTTTACAGCACAAAAAATAGGGCGGCCGGCTGTGCATATTTATATGCGTATGTATGTATGTATGTATGTTTACATATGTATGTATTTTTACACATGTATGTATGTTTACTTATGTATGTATGTTTACATATGTATGTATGTTTACATATGTATGTATGTTTACATATGTATGTATGTTTACATATGTATGTATGTTTACATATGTATGTATGTTTACATATGTATGTGTCGGAAAGAGAAAAAAGAAGGGAAAAGAATGGCACATGTTGACTTTTTGTGAAGAAATCCTATCTCACCGAAGTCTACTAATGCTGTAAAGGTGATTGAAGAGAAGAGAAGCCGAAATTTCAAGCAACTGGCTCATTGCTGAACAGCGTCGAGACTCGGACATAGCCGAAATCGTGAGCAAATTAAAAGATTGTTCTCTTGCTGAAGATATTGCGAAAACCTATGAACTGAGGGCAGAAGTTCTTTACCGAAAAATACAGAGAAATGGCAGAACACGCTGTTTACCAGTGATACCGCGTTCCTTCAAATGGTCTGTTATAAACCAGGTGCATGAGTCAATAATGCATTTAGGTTGGGAAAAGACACTAGATAAAGTTTACGATTTTTATTGGTTTGACAATATGTCAAAATATGTTAGAAAATTTGTTGACAATTGTATCACATGCAAAATGTCCAAATCAAACTCAGGAAAAATTCAGGCCGAATTGCATCCAATCCCAAAAGTCAATATTCCTTGGCACACTATACACATCGATATAACAGGGAAATTAAGTGGCAAGAGTGACCAGAAGGAGTATAATATTGTTCAAGCTTCAAGCTTTTACCAAGTATGTCTATCCTAGTCATAGCCTTAAATTAGACAGTGAGAGTTGCTGACCAGGGAAGGTGTTTTACGGGTGCAAAGTTTAGTCAATTCTGTTCAGATCAGAAAATAAACTTGCATTTGATTGCCACCGGGGCTAGCCGAGCTAATGGTCCAGTTGAACGAACCATGAGCACCTTGAAAAATATGTTAACGGCGGTTGAAACTGGACCGCAGTCTTGGCAGGACGTGTTAGGGGAGGTGCAGTTGGCAATCAATTGTACAACTAACCGTGTGACGAAGGCAAGTCCTCTTGAAATGTTATTGGGAAAGGTAGCACGCCCATTAGGATTACTTCCACCTGGTGACATAGAAAATGATGTTGATCTGTCAAATGTAAGAGCACAAGCTGAAAAGAATGTTTTAGCCACGGCAGTTTATGACAAAGAACGATTTGATAAAAATAAGGCAAAAGTTGTTAGACACAAAGTAGGAGATTTTGTGCTATTTAAAAGCGAAGAGAGGCATCAAACCAAGTTGAGTCCAAAATTCAAGGGGCCTTTTGAAATAATACAGGTTCTGGAGTGTGACAGGTACTAAAGTGTACCTTTACCAATAAAAGAAATTATAAATATGCACATGAAGATTTGAGAAAAATGCCAGAGGGGCAAGTGCCCGAGGAGTTGAATGTGTGTGAAGAGAGCGAAAATGAAAATGTTGAAGCCACTGAAGAAAGTGAAGCACACCAATAAAGGTGATGAAAGATTTACTGCTGGCCAAAGAAAATGGCAGAGTAACAAGACCAGATAAATAATGCAAGCAAACATCAGTTTGTTTTGATCATGGCGTGTGGGGCATTGAGTTTGTAAAAATTTTGTTAAAAATTACATTATAGTAAGAATTATGTAAAGATACTGGTTAAGAAGGCTTGATGCTGTTTTGTAAAATTAACTTGATAAGGAAATATTAAATCTTTTGTTTATAAAAAAAAAAAAAGACAAATGAATAATAATAAAATTATAAAAAAGACAATTGAATGGAACACGAGGTCGTGTTAGAGTCAGGATGGCCGTATCGGAGTATAAAGATTATGCATGAACTTGAATTATTTCATCATATTATGTTTTGCGTCTTTGCATTGTGGTTGTCCGTCGTCTTTCTGCAAGTACCGTTGGAGCGGGGCGACAACGACGCGTCGCCTGTCTATTTTCATGACGATGCGTCGCGACGTTGCCGCCGAGTGTGGTTCGAGTTTTTGTATGGGCTGTTAGAAAACGAGTAGGGCAGTATGCTGGCGTGATCGCCTGTGAATAGTTCGAAACGCGCTGCGCTCTAATGGGAGACGAAGAGAATTCAACATATGTATGTTTACATAATATAATATATAGGTATGTATAATAATATGTATGTATGTTTACATATGTATGTATGTATACATATGTATGTATATTTACATATGTATGTATGTTTACATATGTATGTATGTTTACATATGTATGTATGTTTATATATGTATGTATGTATTCGTGTGTTTGTGACATTCGTGTGTGAATGCCCGCGAACGACAACTAAAAAATAAGGCTTGCTTAAACAATATTAATCAATACCAACACGGGGTCACCAAATATTTATGGGGAAGACAACCAATATGCTTCCTGAGGGTTGAACGCACAAATAGGTTACATTAATGTATAGGAATACTCTGTTTTATTCGGAGATGTAGACTGACTAAGCGAAAGCTTGGCCTTAAAATATAAGCAAAGTAGTTTATCTGAATAGATAACTCGACAGCTTTAGCGAGAGACCACAGAAGGGCGAAAAGAGAGACTCGAAGAGCGCTGCAGGTACAGTGGTACACCTATGGGCGCATGACTAGGCACTGGCGATCTGCTCCAAACAAATATAAATAAGCGATTTTAGAAGACATTGAGCGTCTTCGCTAAATTTGTTGTCGTAAATTCTTGGTTCTTGTATAGTTTTACTTTGAATATATTGTATATTTTCGGACCACAGAGAATACACAAGTCCGCAATTCATTGCGCTCATTACGCACTAAGCACGCATTATAAACTGTAAAAAATCAGTTACGAATCGCGATTGGCTCTCTAAACAAATGATTTGATAACAAAAGAAAAACGATAAGTAATCAAGCATTTTCTTGGGTGACCGTGACAATTTTATTTGGTTTTTGGCGGTTTGTGGCGTGACAACGTCTGGAACAAATTAGAATGTGCCTCATCTTAACCTTTTAGGTTTTTAATTTCCTGAGATTGCCTGTTGATAAAAATATGCCACACGGTCGGACGAATATGATCATAAATATAAGTTTAAAAACAAATATATATATAGTTTTACAGTATTTGCTTAAAAAATATAAATTTGCGACTGATAAACTTAAATGAAATCTACTCTGAGCTAAGCTTGTAGCTTGTATTGGTTGCGCCAGAGCTGACGGGTTACTGTACGGCTGTGCCCGGTCTGGGAAACTATGAATTTTCAATATTTGTTATTTCTCTGTTTATTTCTGTTTGTACCTATACAGATCAATATAATACGGAACGTGGGTCTTAAATTATAGTAGCTGGCGCTGAATACTGTTTGTTCTCTGCTGCACATTGACTGCAATTGGACTGACTTCCTTTTGTGTATCATGGGGATTATGGCTGTCTTGCACAACGTTATCAGTGTAATACGGTTGATATATTCCTGGGTGCGTGAATGCTACAACCATCCAATGTTATTAATCTGTGCGTTTCCAGGGTGTTCACAAATATTTCAGAATTAATAATATTTATTATTGTCCATTGGATTCCAAGTTCGAAACTAATGATTTATTTGTATTAAAGTTTGGGGGGATAGATTCGATTCAATAGTTTCAATTAATATTAATGATTATTAATTTAAATCTAAGCTATTTCCCAGCTAGGAAGCTGTTTTATCTTATTGAATAAGCTAAGTCAAACGATAAACTAAGTTTATAATAAGTGAGTTTATAAAACCTTCCTATACCATTGCAGAGTGTGGTATTTATTTTGTTTTATGCTTGTTTTATTACTCTTAAGCTTTTCAGTGTGCATTAATGTAGTTCATGATTTCTATAACACACATACCTGTCCTTAACATCGCTGTGAACCATCTGAAAAAAGTGATTGTAAATTACTTTTATGTACCACTCGTCTGTATTCAGAGTACTCCTATCCTCCTTCACCCCATCTTCACCCCCATTTCCAGCGATTCCGCGGGTTACCGAGAGACGTATGAGAAATACTCATTGTTTCAGAGAGACGACATTCAACGACATACGTTGAGCGCGAATGTCTTTTTCACTTATTGTACAATTTTTTGTCGTAAATGGTTGGTAATTATACACTTTTCACTTTTTGTATAGAAAATAAACACGTCCGTACTGTTCAAGTATTACTGACTAATACATACTTCATTGTAATTTTTTGAAATAGCATGTTCTTAAGTTTTCTATAAATTAGTTTAGTAAACTATATTTTTATAAAATGTGCTTTTAAGCCTTTAATGAGTGAAGAATTTTAAAATGTTGGCGCGAAAGTAAATATAAGTGAACAATGTGGCATTGTTTACTCTAGGTTTGAAAATTAGATTTGAACAATATGGCACCACCAGTTTTTGAAGCAAAATGAAACGTATCAACTATTCGTTTAACTTTTCAATACTATTAATACCCAAGCTTAGTAATGTTTTCAGTAAGACATAGTAACGAATACTTAAATGCGGTAGCAAGCATGCACATGAAGCAATAGCATGCACTATATGCAACGATTGGAAATAGAGAGCGCGTGTAGGCACAGATGTTAATATCGAATTTTTTTGAGGGACTAACCCAAAAAACTTTTCTTCCACATCCTCCTACAGGCAATCAAAAGCATTTTAATGATTATTTTACAGGAATATTTTATATATACGGCTTAATATAATAAATAATACAATTTATAACGTGAATTTGATGAAATGACTTTACATCTTGAGTTTCGTTTATGTGCTCATACTCAACACCGTAGAGATGAACAAGCTACCAGCCCTAACTGACGTAACGGCTCTACAGCTTACATCACGGCTAAACGTTCCCGTGTTCCAAAGCTGAAGTTGCCTTAGTTCGCCAGAGGATACAGGGTATGCGTATGCGGATTTCATATCGATGTTTTATAGAATTATAGACAAGGACCCTGAGTTATACAACATTGAAAAGCTGCAATACTTGATAACCTATCTGCAAGGACCACCAATGGATGCCATTAAGTCGTTAGATATATCGTCGGTCAACTATCCAGATTTACTCATTAAACGGTATTTTATAAATTTCTTGTTTTCCAGTTTTACATCAAGGAAATACTTAGCTTCAAGAAAGTAGATATATCTTGGGCGTATAAACTCAGAAAATTGCAGATTGCCCCACCGTATACATGCTGCTGCAAAGATTGGATGTTGGTTCACGCTTACCGCCCATCTTACCATTGACGCCCCTTCAAACACCTTATCTACAATCGTTTGCGTTTCAAATTACTTTCTCGAGTTTTCTCGCATCGTTACAATTGGGAATTGTTATTGTTGCTTTTCATACTATTAGTATTGTACTTTTTGCCAATATTGATTTGTTGCTATTGGCTCGGCAACCTTCAGCATTGATTAACATTTGACGCTATAATTTCACAAAGTCGAGCAAAATTGGTTACATTCGCTGGCCCGCTATTAACTTTTCTCTACCGCCTACACCGCCTACCGCCTGCCAATGGTGCCTTGGATAATCGAAGTGATGATAGTCTGTATTAGATTGCTCGCCGATTCTGGGAGTTAGAGAGCTGCAATTAGGCATTTTGCACTAAAACCAAGGAAAAGCTTGATTTTGAGAGGCATTTTGTTGACACTTACACCCAATTACCTAGAGGAATACTCTGGGCATTTGCCCTTAAAAGTCCGCAGGTGCCAAGTCCACAAATTTAGGTGAAGCGCAAGCTCACCTTAGATTTTTAAATCTGAAGCGCAAGCTAGAGCAGCAGCCTCGCCTCAGAGAACAATATTTGGCCTTTATTCATGAATATCTAAGCCTTAATCACATGGCTCTAGTTAACTCTGCGTATATTTCATCCCACAGATATTTTCTGCCGCATCATTATGTTTAGAAGGAGGATAGTACAACGACTGGTGTTTGATGGATCGGCTATCACTTCGTCTGGCCAATTTCGTAATGAGGCGCTCCTAGAAGGACCTGACATTTGGGACCAGGACATTATGAACAACTAAGCTGTTTGACATTTTAATGAAATTTTAATTATATGCAGTTGCTCTTACTGGAGACATTTAAATGCAAAATATATCGGTGTGTTCGTATGATGGCTCCAGATAATTATTATCAATGCATCATGTGGAGAGAATCTCCTAAGGAGGAGTTAAGTGTGTTCAAGTTGGACACAGTCACTTATGGAACCAAGCCAGCTTTCTTCTTGTCAGTGCAGGGCTCTACTTATCTCACTGGATCTACTTATACTATTGGATGAGTTAAGGACGGCATCCGGCATCATTTGTAGAGCGGTCAGGAATTTGTGTCTGCTACCATTATATGCTTCTGTTGAAAGCGAGTCTTTCAACGGGGGAAGCATGCCCACAGCAGCCAATTTCTTATGATTTCATAGCAACAAAATCGAATTCCGTAGATACTTTACACTAAACTATGTTATTTCTTTGCTTATTATAATGTAAGGCATTAACATCTCTCTCTTAGTTTTTGTATCCATAGATATATCAGCCGGCAGCGGCGGTCGTTTTGTTGGACTCAATCTTTGTTTTTTGATGGCTAACCGACAACTAGGCCGCTATTCTAGCGCAAATTCACAAGAAATAAAATTTATAACGTTTCCCAAACTAGGGCTGTTTAAATTGAAAAATTAAGCTGCCAAAAAGCTGACAGGGCAAACAGACGTAAACAGTGCCATCTCCATTAAAAGTTCATCCTAACGCGAAAGTCAAACAACACAGTAAGGCTTTCAAACGAATTATTGACGTATTGAGCCTGAGCAATACGAATCCAATGAGGTTTGAGTACTGCAATCAAAAGACAACTAAAAATGCTTTAGAAGTGTGACGACTTGGGAAATATGTATAACGATTGTCTGAAAGCAAGTGGAATATTTAGTTATAGATAAGGTCTTCCCGACCCTTACAAACACTTTTGTAGACAGTGTGGTTCTAGGCCACACGCATGATATCCACCGAGTAACGGAAGAGATGTCCATCCAACATTCTGCTCATTTATCGCACATTTTAAGCCTTATCATTTATATACGCTCACAAAAATTTAAAGAGTTGCTAGGTCCTAATAGTTGATCATCATTATGAATGTGCACCTTCTGACACAACAAATGACGCCCAAACCGCTTTACATATTCGACCCTTTTGATATATATATGTTTGAGATCTAGAAGTATTCGGAGAACATTGTCTAGCTTTTCCGGACAGCGAAGCCAATCTGTCATAGGTTCAACATTGGCGGACTCCAAAAAGCATATTTTAGACAGCGGATGATTAAAAACAAAATGTCGTGGGATCAGTAAGAATTCTAATAGCATAAAACAATGGAAGAACGGACTTCTGGGAGTCATCGTGATTAGTGAGGTTAATTCAAAGAATCACTCCCGAATTCCATTATCAGTTTCCTCACGATTCAGAACGCAAGGTTAAGGAAACACTTCGTCAAAGAAGCATTCTATCGATTAGACTGGCATCCGCCTTTTGGTGTTCGTGCATCCGCGTGAGTACAAGAGAAAGAGAGAGAGAGAGAGGGAGCACGAGAGGGACGAGTTTAAATACTCACGCAGCGTCTATGCATAGATACCAAAAGCTTATCGCACAGCTAAGGTGACGAAGATCTTAATTATGTCACCAATGTTGGTAATAACTGATTGGTGCTAAGAGACTAGATATCTGCATGAATACAGTCAAAGCAGCATTTGGTACGTTCACTCAAAGTTCTGACTGAGTGAAACATTAAGTAAATCGGATTTGGCAAATGTTGTAAAGGCATGAGTAGAAAATTTACCATATCCAAACGACGAAGCAATGAGTTTCGCGACCGAGTACTCGGAATAAGCGAGTCGGTTAATTGTGCGTCGCATTGGCGACGTCTAATTTATTGCGTGTTTGTTTTTTCGTTTTTGTTTTGCTATTTAATACAAGACATAGAAAAATAGAAAGACATGAATTATTATATTATATATGTATGTAATTTATTTAATTTATTTTTAAATTACTGAATGCAGAAACATAATTTTATTTATAGTTTCTGTGTTTACAAACACAAAAATTAATATTTTTATTATTTACAAAGCAACACTAAAGTAAAAAAAAAGAAAATAAAAATATTTTTTCAAATTTACAACACAAACAATTTTTTACAATTTCATAAGCAATAGAAAATAAATAAGCAAATTTTCCTTCCTCGAGAAAATAAAAAATATTTATCAAATTCAAAATTTATAAGTAAAAGTGAACTCTGACATAAAGTGAATTAAAAAGAATCATTTAAAGAAAATTTGTATCTTGTTTTGTGAGAGTGATAGAGGAAATTCATTGGGTCAATCCCGAATAAACTAGTTAGACCCCCCGTCTTAAACACGCAACCCTCTACAACGAACGCGAGTAGTTCCGGTCAACGCAATACACCAGACATGAATGAGCTTAAAAGCTGGATAACCAGCAGTGGCTAGTGGCAGAAACATTGCAAGAGCAGATTTCCGCGTTCGCCAGGTAAATGAATCCGCAAAAAAACTCGAATTGACACGGGATCAAATAAAAATTATATTCAGCCTCATTGGGTCTCTAACCTGATACCCAATGAAAAACTATTCGAAGCAATCTCAGTAGGAGGTAGCATTAAAATCATCCACCATATAAAAGCTAATTTGTTTAACATTTCCGACATTTCCATTAAATTTTTCTTACTTCCCACACTGAAAACTTTTGATGCTATTCTAGGAAACGATAGCCTGAAAGCATTACAAACTGCTATTTACACCAATAAGAATTTAATGATGACAAAAAACCGTGTTAAATTACATATTCAGGAAATAAAACTCGAGGCAGTGAACAGCATATGCCCCGTACCGACCATAT